TTGGACAACGTGAGGCGGAAACGATTGGGGCTGTGATAAGCGCTATAGACACTACACGGCACCAGCTGTAGATTGGTAGTGATCACATATGATGTTCCAGTTGAACATATGAGCTTCCCAGTATACTTATAGAAACTATGGGGTGGTATATTATATATTCTTCTTCTTCTTCTCCTCTTCTTCTTCATCTGCATCCTCTATTTCCCACTCCGCGTCTTCCTCTTCTTCTTCCATTCATTGTCTACCCCACCACCCCCGCTCCACGTCCTCCTCATCGAAATCCCCACCCCTCCCCCTCCCCCTAAGTCACAAACTGTTTTTGACATGTAGATTTGTTGAATTACAACTAAGCAGCGATATCTGCACCTTTTCGCTAAACCCATCTGATGTCAGTAAACCCACAAATTAATCGCATTTCATGATATGTTTGTTGGAACGACAGCAAGTCTATTCTTTGTTTTGCCCCTTTGTTTCAGACAAGAACGAAAGATTCGTGTAAACGTTGTTAAAATTGTTTAAAAGACATCACAAAGAAGTTTGTGAACCAACAAGACAAAAAAAAAACAAGATAGGCTGTTATAAAAGCTCGAGTTTTAAATGAGAAATCTACCGACAACACGTGTTTTCAAAGTTTAAAATAATTGTACTAATAAAATCCCCTCCGGTGATTCAAAGTTCGTGCTCTGTGTCTTGATTCTCTTTGTGCGGTGTGTACAAGCAGAGTGAGGTTGTGGTGGAAATATAACTGACTCACGCTAAACATAAAATTAAAACTGTAATCAGAAGGAGACATTCATCATTTTTCGGCCATGTTATGAGAAGAGGGAAAATAGAACATTTTGCGACCACTGGAGAGATTGTGAAAAAAAGAACAGAGGAAGACAATAAGAGGAGATTCTTGACAGCATGGCATGGAGATGTGTCAGCACACAAACTAATATATGCTGCAGGAGATCGCAGAATGTGGCAAGGCCCACGCCAGTCCGCAAAGCACATAATGATAATGATACCCAATTCGTATTCTCACGGACACCTACCCACGTGTCTAACTATCGTCAATCTCACACACACCTACCTCTGTGTCTAACTATCTTCAATCTCACGGACACCTACCCACGTGTCTAACTATCTTCAATCTCACGCACACCTACCTCTGTGTCTAACTATCTTTAATCTCACGCACACATTCCTCTGTGTCTAATTATTTTCAATCTCACGCACACATTCCTCTGTGTCTAACTATCTTCAGTCTCACGCACACCTACCTCTGTGTCTAACTATCTTCAGTCTCGCGCACACCTACCTCTGTGTCTAACTATCTTCAATCTCACGCACACCTAGCTCTGTGTCTTACTATCTTTAATCTCACGCACACCTAGCTCTGTGTCTAACTATCTTTAATCTCACGCACACCTAGCTCTGTGTCTTACTATCTTTAATCTCACGCACACCTACCTCTGTGTCTAACTATCTTCAATCTCACGCACACCTAGCTCTGTGCCTAACTATCTTTAATCTCACGCACACCTACCTCTGTGTCTAACTATCTTCAGTCTCGCGCACACCTACCTCTGTGTCTAACTATCTTCAATCTCACGCACACATTCCTCTGTGTCTAACTATTTTCAATCTCACGCACACATTCCTCTGTGTCTAACTATCTTCAATCTCACGCACACATTCCTCTGTGTCTAACTATTTTCAATCTCACGCACACATTCCTCTGTGTCTAACTATCTTCAGTCTCACGCACACCTATCTCTGTGTCTAACTATCTTCAGTCTCGCGCACACCTACCTCTGTGTCTAACTATCTTCAATCTCACGCACACATTCCTCTGTGTCTAACTATTTTCAATCTCACGCACACATTCCTCTGTGTCTAACTATCTTCAGTCTCGCGCACACCTACCTCTGTGTCTAACTATTTTCAATCTCACGCACACCTACCTCTGTGTCTAACTATCTTCAGTCTCGCGCACACATTCCTCTGTGTCTAACTATTTTCAATCTTACGCACACCTACCTCTGTGTCTAACTATTTTCAATCTCACGCACACCTACCTCTGTGTCTAACTATTTTCAATCTCACGCACACCTACCTCTGTGTCTAACTATCTTCAGTCTCGCGCACACCTAGCTCTGTGTCTAACTATCTTCAGTCTCGCGCACACCTACCTCTGTGTCTAAATATCTTAAATCTCGCGCACACCTACCTCTGTGTCTAACTATCTTCAGTCTCGCGCACACCTACCTCTGTGTCTAAATATCTTAAATCTCGCGCACACCTACCTCTGTGTCTAAATATCTTAAATCTCGCGCACACCTACCTCTGTGTCTAAATATCTTAAATCTCGCGCACACCTACCTCTGTGTCTAAATATCTTAAATCTCGCGCACACCTACCTCTGTGTCTAACTATCTTAAATCTCACGCACACCTACCTCTGTGTCTAAATATCTTAAATCTCGCGCACACCTACCTCTGTGTCTAACTATCTTCAGTCTCGCGCACACCTACCTCTGTGTCTAACTATCTTAAATCTCACGCACACCTACCTCTGTGTCTAAATATCTTCAGTCTCGCGCACACCTACCTCTGTGTCTAAATATCTTAAATCTCACGCACACCTACCTCTGTGTCTAAATATCTTAAATCTCGCGCACACCTACCTCTGTGTCTAACTATCTTAAATCTCGCGCACACCTACCTCTGTGTCTAACTATCTTGAATCTCACGCACACCTACCCCCGGTGTATTACTATCTTCAATCTCACACACACCTACCTCTGTGTCTAACTATCTTCAGTCTCGCGCACACCTATCTCTGTGTCTAACTATCTTAAATCTCACGCACACCTACCTCTGTGTCTAACTATCTTAAATCTCGCGCACACCTACCTCTGTGTCTAACTATCTTAAATCTCACGCACACCTACCCATGTGTATTACTATCGTCAATCTCGCGCACACCTACCTCTGTGTCTAACTATCTTCAGTCTCACGCACACCTACTTCTTTGTTTATCTTCAATCTCACGCACACCTACCTCTGTGTCTAACTATCTTCAGTCTCACGCACACCTACCCCCTGTGTCTCTGATCGCTGTTCCCTATAATAGCTCGTCGCCTAAATAATCCGAATTCAAGTAAACGTTAGTTGCGTATCCCTTACAGGACGTTGCAGAACCAACCCCAACAGCCCCTGTCTGTTGTGTAGTTTTTCGAGGCAAATTTACGTCCAGTAGTTTGCCATTGCTTCCTGGACAGTCGGCTTTATTGATACGACTGTCGATACCAACGTAAGACGCATGGCCCGCAGCTTGGAACGAACCCGGCATCATGACATTACGAAGCGTTCGCATCGACTTAGCCACAGAACCGATGAATTCAAGTCAACAACGCCAAAAAACATATTTAACATGAAGCATCTCAACTAAGGTTACAACATGCCCCTTTGACCTGTCGAATAAACCCAGAAATCGGCCAATTCAAGGGCCAGATAAAAGGTTAGTTTTGCCGGAAAGTGGTTCTTGAGATGACCGACCCATGATTACTGAACATGCGATGATCAGAGAGTATGGTGGGGATTATCAAGTGCATATCAAGAAAGCCAATCTCTACAAGAACCAATTTTCTAATCTAGGTATAGTGATAAATCGAAATTGACAGGAAAGGGAACTAAATGAGGGTTCCACTGCTGATATCAGCGAATATGATAACAGAGCAGTTGTTAGACGGGCCATAGGCCTGCACGGATGTTTCCAAATGATGATTGCGTTTTTACATCTTTGCAGCCAATCGTCTTCCCGCGCGTGCATTGTGTTCACGTGATGAGGTTCATATGTGTATCCTGGTTCAGTTTTTATTATATTCAAGCATAAAATAAAACCCTGGAGGTTTAAGGTCTAAATGAATCCCAGGCTGGATTGGATTCCAGTGCGGGGGCTTAATTGTGGTGGGGTAGAGAGCGGTGGGAGGCATAACGTGCCCTTATTGGCGTTTGCGTTTTCCAGAATGGCATGTCAGACCATTTTCGCTGGAAAAAAATGAGGCAGGAATTACATGAAACGTTTCTGGCGAAACAATTCACGTTCAGCTCCTTCTTGGCACCTCAAAAATTCACACACAAAGTTGTCTGGGCACTTAAAAGCTGCCACACATCTCATAAATGCCACTTTAAACAACTCACGCCCAGGACTCCATGCTTGATAAACTCACGCTTAACTCTCTTGGCATTTCATAAAAAAATGGCAACTTGAAAACTCGCACTCAACACAGTTTTGGCACTATTAAAACTTAAACTAAAATGTTTCCTCGTCCTTTCCAATTTCACATTCAACTCATTGTTGACATGTGATAAATTCACTCTCAACATATTATTGACACTTAATTAAAATCACAATCAAAATTGTGTTGACACTAGGTGAGATTGCAATCAATATTCTGTTGATACTTGATTAGATCACAATCAACTTACTGTGGGCACTTGATAAAATGACAATGGAAATGTTGTCGACTTCACATAATCACATTCAACATTTTATGCACACCTTGATAAAATTATAATCAACAAATTCGACACTTGTTAAAATCATAATCAAAATATTTGTTGACACTTGATACAATCACAATCAACATATTATTGACACTTGATATATGCATTCACAATCAACATATTATCGAAACTTGATACAATCACAATCAACATATTATCGACACTTGACACGATCACAATCAACATATTATCGACACTTGATACAATCACAATCAACATATTATAGACACATGTTACAATCCCAATCAACATATTATCGACACTTGATACAATCACAATCAACATATTATAGACACATGATACAATCACAATCAACATATTATCGACACTTGATACAATCACAATCAACATATTATAGACACATGATACAATCACAATCAACATATTATCGACACTTGATACAATCACAATCAACATATTATCGACACTTGATACAATCACAATATACATATTATCGACACTTGATACAATCAAAATCTTCGTCTAACTACAGGCCTGAAGGTCTCGTTTCGATTCTCACTGGGGCTCTATTGTAACAAGTGGTCTAGGGTTCCAGTGCTGACTTAGCCTAACTAAGTACCAGGAAATGTCTTGGGTAGTAAAGGCCACTAGTGTGATGTTGGTCACATCAATCAGCGAGTACTAGAGCACGTATTGGCCTATAACAGTTGGTCTAGCATTGGGCCTGATTCAGACTTAGTATGACCCGAATCTATATAAAGACCCCTAAGAACCTTAAACTAATACTAAATATGTTTAATTCTAATGTCAAATCAGTACTGTTGTATGGAGCGCAAACATGGAGAACAAGTAATAAACTTCCAACATTCATCACTTGGTGCCTGCGCAGAATGGAAAGAATTAGATGGTGTGATAGAATCACTAATGTAGAGTTTTTTAAACGAACTAAACAAGTTCCAGTGGACCAACAGGTGAAGAAAAAAACGATGGTGTTGGAAAAGAGACTCGTAAAGATAACCTCATAACAGTATAACTAGAATATCTTTGCAGTGGAACCCACAGGGGCACACAAACAAAGGAAAACCACGGCGAGAACTGCATGCAATAGCGAAGGATAAAACGACTTTGCATGAGTTGGTTGAGGGCCTATGCTCCAGTGGGGGATAGAAAGAAGAAGGCCTGTACGGTCCGAAATGACACCAGTTAACTTCAGAAAACTGGAACATGTTTGTCAGTTATTGAAAGATGGATGTTGCAGCGCCTCAAGCTGATTTTTTTTATTCAATTTAAAAGTTTACACGTTAGAATAAATACAATCCTGAAATAATATATCCAATATATATATAACTGGAATATTTCTGGGGATTTTCCTCACTAGAAATATTACAAGAAAATTGCATTTCTGAAAAAAAGACGCCCCTACAGATTATGAGGACCTAAGCTGCAGCTTTGTTGGCTTATACCCAAATGCAGCAATGGTCAAGGACCATATGCCCCATGCAGGTTGTGGCGGAAGAATGTTCACTTACTACTTATATTTGCTTACAACGGTAAACTTCACTAACATACCCTTACCTCTCCCAGCAAAGACTGTGGATCTGACCCAGGGGATCCACATTGCGAGAGAAGCAACGGGGGACCGGTGGCGACCTCAAACGCACAATCCTATTTTTGACCCAGACGGGACTCAATGTTTAGCATGACTGATGTTGAACGCAGAAGAACTGACCTACATATGATTAGAACGCATTTTTAGCACTAGACACATTCCCACACAACACAGTCTTGTAGAAATAACAAAAGTGAACATGGTGCAGTTGTGGTACCATCTTTCTAGTTGCCTCTTGCGGCATGCATAGTAGATTATATCGTTTCCTGTCTATGCCTCTCTCACTGTGACATCAGTGCCGCGGGCGTAACTAGATCCCTCTGAAACAGTCTTCGTCTGCCAGGTCTAAGACCTGTCTCAACATTGCACCTATGCTCCATTCTCTGATGCAACATCCGGAGGAGGGATGAAGGACGGGTTGGAAAGGAAAGGGTGTGGTAGGGAAGTGGAAAAGGGGTAGGGTGGGGAGGGGTTGAGTTAAGCTCCCTTACACATTTTCTAGGAAGTGACCCGAAGAGCTGTAAGCCTAGTTTGAGCAGAGTAAGTAAATGACTCTTTGTCGCGCTTTCAGGCGTATAGGGCATATAGGGCTAGACTTATATTTTATAGACCAATCGGCACTTAGTGTGTGATGTGGTTAGCATTACTCCGGCCGCCTTTACTTCACGGGACTGATCCCTGTACTTTCTCAAGGCTGGGTCGACCTGGGAGCCAAGGTCATTTTTGAAAAAAGTCTGGCTCCGCCAGGGAGCGAACTCTCGATCTTCCCATCCGCAAGCAAGCGTCTAGCCGCTACGCCACGGCGACTCCCCCAACACACAATAGGATTCAATAATAATAATGATAATAATAGGAACAATAATAATCTTAGCTTCACTTTCTGTAAACTCCAGCGGAAAATTAGGTTGCTCGTCCATCTTTGGATTTTATCTAGTGTTGTTTGTGCGTCCGTTTGACAGATCTGGCTTGTGTTATGCAGACTGTAGGTTCCTTGCCTCTCAGACTGAGGCACTCTGAGTTTGAATGAAATACTTTATATTAGCCGCCTTGTGCGGCATGCTTATTATGGGGGCAGTGGTTCTTTTTTTTTCCCTCCTTACTGTAGCTCCGGAACCCACACGCAGGCAATAATAATAATAATAATAATAATATAAATAAATAATAATAATGTGCTAAATGGCGAACAAATATAATACAGTAGAACCTCGCTTAACGAGCACCTCTCATAACGAGTAATTAGCATTACGAGCAAAACAAATTGTACAAAAATGACTTGCTTAACGAGCGACGTTTCGCATAACGAGTGGCGAGGAGAGGGGAAGTACCGAATTGTGTGCATGTTACATCAGTTTGTGTTTAGCACTCGTTCCAGTAATATCGTAGTGTCACTTGTGATCACACATTTTCTCAAACTTGTGTTATATAGTGATAAATGTACATGAATCTTCCAGGCCTACAAGATGACCTCTCTGAAGAATTTAAGTTCATCAAGATTTAGTTTCTGCCTCCCAACACCACTCATGGACAAGCAAGTTATTTCTAACTTTAAGAAACTCTACACTAAAGCACTCTTGGAGCATTGTTTTCAGGTGACTGAAGGGACCAACCTCACTTTCAATGGGTTTTGGAGACAAATCACTTCCACATCGTTGCCTGCCTCAAGATGATCGACAAGGCGGGAGAAGGGGTTACAGAGAGAATCCTAACTTCTGCTTGGAAGAAGCTTTGGCCGGAGAGTGTTGTCTATGTTGTGACTTTGAGGGGTTCGAGACAGTGAAACCTGTAGTCAACGAGATTGGGTCTTTGTCCACTATCATGGGATTGTAGGTGGATAACAGTGATATCAAAGAGCTTGAGGAATAGCTCAGCCAAGAGCTGCGTTTTGGAGGAAAGTTTGTCAGAGGAGGAGGAGGAGGTAGCAGAAAAGCAACAATTTTCTGGCGAAATAAGTGAATTGCTGAAAGCATGGGAAACTGTTGCATCTTGCATAGAGAAGCATCACCCTAATAAGGAAGTGACTATGCGCGTTGCAAATTTATTTAATGATAATGCTGTGTCGCATTTCCGCCAACTTTTGAAGCGTCATTCATTCATTCATTCAGTAGCATGTCCCTCGCGGAACCTCGCTGCCATAACAACCCTCCGGAAAACCTTCCTATCATGAGCAAGATGTCCTGCGTCTGATACACCCATCTGGAGATCATCTGCCACATCCTGCACCCATCTTCTCCTTGGCCTTCCTTTTCCTCTCTTCCCAGGCATATACCCCTCCATTATTGTTCTCTCTAGACTTCCATGACGTTTCAAGTGACCAAAATATTTCAATTTTCTTTGTTTTATTGTCTTTACTAGCCAACCCTCTTCAATATTCAGCTCTTGAAGTATGGATGCATTTGTTCTTTTCTTTACCCAAGATATTCTTAGAACCTGTCTGTAACATTTATATTCAAATGCATTTATGCGCTGTTCCGCTTGTTTAGTAAGTGTCCAGGTCTCACAGGCGTATGTTGCAATGGGAAAGATGCATGCTCTTAAAAATCTGACCTTTGTAATTCTATCTGTACAGTTCCATAATTTATTCAGTTGTTTTAGTCTTTGAAGAGCAATTGATAGTCGTTGTTTAATTTCTTTCATTGTGTCACCATTGTTGGTAACCAGTGACCCAAGATATTCGAAATTTTCCACCACTTCCAATCTTTCCTTATTAACATATATTTCCTTCTCCATGGCAGTTTTGTTTGTATGCATTATCTTTGTTTTTGATATGTTAAGAAATAAGTTATGATTTTCACTATTTCTTTGGAGTGAGGTTAATAAGTTTTCTAAACCACTTTGTGATGTTGATAGTAATACTGTATCATCAGCATAACGAATTTCTGGTATTTCATGACCACCGATGTTTAGGGCATCATATTGTTCTTTGTTTATATCATCTCTTACATTTCTCATTATATTTTCGGCGTACAGATTGAACAAATACGGTGACAGCACACATCCCTGACGGACTCCTTGCTTGATGCCAAACCAGTCTGATGTCTCTCCATCTATTCTGACTGCTGCTTGCTGATCTTGATAGAGCATTTTAATGAGCTGCACTATATGTGATGGAAAGCCCATATTCCTCATGATTTCCCAAAGCTTCTGATGTTGTACACAGTCAACTGCTTTTGAATAATCTACAAAACATAAGAACAGAAGCGTCGGCAAAAACAAATCTCTGGACATCTTTGTAGTTTAAAAAAAAAAAATAATAATTAGCTATGTATCATAATTATTTCAACTTTTTTATTTTCTGCAAATCGAATTCGCATTCCATGTGGGTTCGTTACGCTTTTGAAGAAAAGATGAAGATGATCCACTCTCCTTAACAATATGTATATACTTTTCTTTGAATAAATGTTATACATAGAATTTTGTGAGTATCTTTTTCGACATGGAACACATTATCGTATTTTACATTAATTTATATGAGAAAAATTGTTTCGCATAACGAGTGTTTCGCTCAACGAGTATGATTCTGGAACGAATTATGCTCGTTAAGCGAGGTTCCACTGTAATAGTTTTTAAAAATCCCATTACAAACACACCTTCTGCACATTATTGGAGCTGGGCTGGGAAAGGTGTATCCTTTTACTTGGGGTACCTATGGCATAGAACCATTACAATTAAACCCACAGATTCCAGGATATACAGCCACGCTATTTGTGAAAATTTCAGACCATCTGTTAAAGGATAATCCTCAATGCAATGAAAGGCACATCAGTGAAGTTAATATTGGGAGACACAAAGAAATTCAGACATCACAAGATTTGTTCTTCTAGTAAGATTGGTAGCCTCGAGTGGCCGGTGCGACCGTTAAGTGGATGAGTGCGAGGGCAGAGCCAGCAACGGAAGCCTGAATTGAGGCGGAGTGGGCACACGGAAAAGGATGAATTGTTGAAGCTCTAGTAAATTAAAACTGACAAGTAAAATTCGGTGACAAGAACAAGTTTAATACGAGTTCAAGACGGGAGAGTTGGGGGAGATACAGACACGAACACAACTCGAGGTTGATAGCTAGTCGGAGACAGACAAACGGCAGGCAGGGAGATAAACGGCAGGCAGGGAGATAAACACACACAGACACACACACACAAATGAGGGTGGGTGTGAGACACACACACACACACAGAGAGAGAGAGAGAGAGAGAGAGAGAGAGAGAGAGAGAGAGAGAGAGAGAGAGAGAGAGAGAGAGATATCTTTCAATAATGCATAGTAGGACAGACGGACGGACGGACGGCAGCCGGACGGACGGACGGACGGACGGACGGACGGACGGACGGACGGACGGACGGACGGACGGACGGACGGACGGACGGACGGACGGACGGACGGACGGGCGGACGGGCGGGCGGGCGGGCGGGCGGGCGGGCGGGCGGGCGGGCGGGCGGGCGGGCGGGCGGGCGGGCGGGCGGGCGGGCGGGCGGACAGACGGACAGACAGACAGACAGACAGACAGACAGACAGACAGACAGACAGACAGACAGACAGACAGACAGACAGACAGACAGACAGACAGACAGACAGACAGACAGACAGACAGACAGACAGACAGACAGACAGACAGACAGACAGACAGACAGACAGACAGACAGACAGACAGACAGACAGACAGACAGACAGACAGACAGACAGACAGACAGACAGACAGACAGACAGATAGATAGATAGATAGATAGATAGATAGATAGATAGATAGATAGATAGATAGATAGATAGATAGATAGATAGATAGATAGATAGATAGATAGATAGATAGATAGATAGATAGATAGATAGATAGATAGATAGATAGATAGATAGATAGATAGATAGATAGATAGATAGATTTGTGCAAGTACACAAACCGTTTGAAAGGAGCAAGATTAGAAGAAGAAGAAGAAGAAGAAGAAGAAGAAGAAGAAGAAGAAGAAGAAGAAGAAGAAGAAGAAGAAGAAGAAGAAGAAGAAGAAGAAGAAAAAGAAGAAAAAGAAGAAAAAGAAGAAGAAGAAAAAGAAGAAGAAAGAAGAAGAAAGAAGAAGAAAGAAGAAAAAGAAGAAGAAAGAAGAAGAAAGAAGAAAAAAGAAGAAAAAGAAGAAAAAAGAAGAAAGAGAAGAAGAAAGAAGAAAGAGAAGAAGAAAGAGAAGAAGAAAGAGAAGAAGAAAGAGAAGAAGAAAGAGAAGAAGAAAGAGAAGAAGAAAGAGAAGAAGAAAGAGAAGAAGAAAGAGAAGAAGAAAGAGAAGAAAAAAAGAAGAAGAAAAAAGAAGAAGAAAGAGAAGAAAAAGAAGAAGAAAAAAGAAGAAGAAAGAGAAGAAGAAAGAGAAGAAAAAGAAGAAGAAAAAAGAAGAAGAAAGAGAAGAAAAAGAAGAAGAAAAAAGAAGAAAAAGAAGAAGAAGAAGAAAAAGAAGAAGAAAAAGAAGAAGAAGAAGAGGAAGAAGAAACATTAGCAGGCCAGTTCTGTTCATACTGTTCGTGTTGTGCGCAGACATGTAATTAAGAGAACCATCGTTCCACAACCCAGTAATTCTGTTTGCTTGCAACCCAGAGGTTAAACGTGCTAATTGCAGAAATACCTGCATGCATCAAATTTTGGCGCGACAAACTTGGACACTGCAGAAGCCTACCCACAAATGTGTCCTAACACACAGTTTGGTTATCCCTGCAATCAGATCCTCAAAATCTTCTCAGTCGTTCCTCATCTCGTTTTGACATCAGTTCTGATGCAGTGAGGAGTCCGTGTGGCGGAGCGGGGCTAGACGCTCGCCGCGGATCGGAAGGTCGTCGGTCCGATCCGCTCCCTGGCGGAGCCAGACTTTTTTCAAAAAGGACCTTGACTCCCAGGTCGCCCAGCCTTGAGTGGCTACCGGGTACAGTCCTGGAAAGTAGGGGCAGCCGTCGTGATGCTGACCACATCACTCATCTTATGCCGATTGGTCTATACAAGTATAGGTCTAGCCCTATATGCACTATACGTCTCTAAAACGGTCCTTTACTTCTCTATTTACTTTCTTAAGCAGTGACTTTGCTTGTTTTTTTTGTTTTTTTTTTTAAATTTGGATTGACCCCTTCCGTTCCTTCTGTACTTTCTACACTCGTCTGCGTTAGGCAATTGAATTCTCCATTGTGTCCATTCTCACTTTTTTGTTCAGTGCACCTCTGGTAATTTTTCTGTTTGCCAATTGCCTGTCCTTTTACGTGTCTTTGTTTTGCTTTTGGTCTCTGGTTTAATTGTTTTATTTTTGTACGTGTTTTCTTTGTGCTGATTCTTCTCTCTGTTTTCTCCATTTTTCATTCCACTAATGGCTTTTTTCTTTCCTTTTCTTTCTGTCATATTCGCTGCATTTCTTCGTCATCCCGTATTTCTCATATTTTTACTTGTTTTCCTGGGTTTTTCGTTCCTCTCTTTTCTCGGTCCCTGTGTATTTATTTCACTAGCCACTGCTTTCACGCCGGTAGCGTTTTTTCCCCCCAGCACTCTGCTGTTGTTTCTCTAACTACCGCAACTTGTTGGACGTCGTCGACCACTTTCGCCAAAATCTCTCTTTTCTTTTCTCCTTTGTAGATCAAGTTCCTTGTTTCTTTGTTGGGTCTCTTTCTGCCAGCATAGTTCTCTCTCTCTCTCTCTCTCTCTCTCTCTCTCTCTCTCTCTCTCTCTCTCTCCCTCTCTCTCTTTCACACACACACACTCTCTCTCTCTCTCTCTCTCGTTTCATCTCTCCTCGCCATCTCTCTTTATTTTCGCCTCTCTCTCTTTCCCCCTCTCTCACCCTAAATCGATGTCTACCTCTCCCTCACTCTGTGCATCGCTCTCTAGCCGTAACTTGTTTCTTCTTGTCTTCTTTTATACTCTCTCTCTCTCTCTCTCTCTCTCTCCCTTTATGTATCTAGCAGTTTCTCATGCTCCTTATTTTTTTGACACACACTCACACACACACACACACACACACAAGCCACCTTCTCAGGTCTTCTTGCCTCCGTTCTCAACAATTCACTTTAGAAATGCATTAGAAGACCGGAGAATTAAAAGACACGCTTCTTTAAACCCAATAATTAAAGTAAAATAAAAATTAAAAAACAAAATTGCATATTTAATTCTAATGTAAATAGCACAGGCGTGGATGCGAGTTGTCTTATCATAATTGCTTATCGCTCCTTCATTATGAAAACTGGTATAACAATGTGCAAAGTGAAGAATTTCCACACTATTTTTTAAAAGGAATATTCTCGTCAAGCGGCGTCGCAGTGGCGCAGTTGATAGCACAGTTGCCTGTCGACCGAGTGGTGATAAGTCGAATCTATGAGGTGTTTTTTGACCGGTAGTCGCTGTGGTGTAGCGCCTAGACGCTCAACTGCGAATTCGATGGTTTTTGGTTCAAATTAGAAGGGAGCCGAACTTCTATTTTTTTTTTCAATGACCTTGCCTTCCAGGTCGACTCAGCCTTAAAAGGGACCAGGTAAAGTCTTAGAAAGTAAAAGGCAACCGGTGTGATGCTGACTACATCACCCATCAAGTACTGATTGGTCTGTAAAGTATAAGTCTAACAATACATACCCAAAACGCCTAAAGGCGCGGGAAGGATCTCCTTTATTGTGTGTGTGTGTGAAAGAGAGAGAGAGAGAGAGAGAGAGAGAGAGAGAGAGAGAGAGAGAGAGAGAGAGAGAAGGGCTGGCACCATACAGCAAACCGGCTTATAGCTATATTGTTGGGAAGACGGGCTTGGGAACACACTACAATGACACTATGTTTTTTCCTCCACTCAAGACTAAATACAATTGGTTATTTCAGTGACAATCTGTGACAGAAGACAGCAGTAACATTGTATTTCTTAGAAACATCAAAGGTACGTGTGAGGTTTTGATTGTTTCTGAATGTTTTTTTTTTTTTTAAAGACAAGACAAATAAAAGCAGTCACGTAGAATTACATACAAGAGACAGCTAGGAACCATGAGGACAGACAAGCAGGTACTCAAATAAAGAAGGAACAAGTGACTGCTATTGTGATGGACAACATACATACAAACATAGACAGACAGACATACGGACATACTGACTCGCATACAAATGTAATAAGACTTGACAAAACAAAGTAGGGTAACAAAAATATATGACAAGATAATATATGATAAGATAATATATGATAAGATAATACATGATAAGATAATACATGATAAGATAATATATGATAAGATAATATATGATAAGATAACACAGGACAAGAAAGAGCAAACATGAACACGGCACTTACCTCCATGTAGACAGCAAAAGGCATCACTATCACCGCCACCATGATGTCGGCCACGGCCAAGGAACAGATGAAGTAGTTGGTGACGGTCTTCAAACTCTTCTCCTTGATTACACTCAGCACCACCAGGATGTTGCCGAACACCGTTAGGATAGGGATGATGATGAGTACCAGAGTCCAGAATCGGTAGTCATCGTCGATGAACGGGTTCTGAGTACTCGTCTCGTTCTCATCCGGGTTAAATAGTTCCCAGCAGTCATAGCTTCCCGTGGTTCGGTTGTTGCACAGTGTGTCGGAGATATTCCATGGAACTTCTAATGTCGGAGATAAAGGATCTAGGGATTTGATGTAGAACTGATCCGCCAAAGGGTTGGCTGTGCGGGCCTGGTCTGTTCCCAGATTTAGAAAATTTGAATTTGGAAGCAGTTGTGGGGATGCCGATGAAGGATAGATTTCATTGTGGGCGTTTCTTTGGATAGAAGTGTAGGCGGAGTTATGTGGCGTCATGTTCAGGCGTTGGTGAGAATGGCCATTTAAGGAGAATGTATTTTGTTTATATGGCAAATCCCCATCAGAGGCGTGTTTTTTAGAGTAAAACGAAAAAATAGTTGATGCTGGAGCGGATGACGGGGGCGTTGGTGATGGGCCAACTAGTGGCAAATGTTGCCCGTTTGTATATTCCATGGTACCCAGGAATGGAGGCTGTTTCTCTCCAGTGTGGAAATCTGAACTAACCCCTTTTCCACTATGGTAGGCTCTGTCTGTCTCTGACTGCTGTACCGGCCAATACCTGGAAGTGTATGTGTCAGTAGGGTTGTTGACCGTGGATGTGTGGTGGTGGTGGTGTCGCTGATGGTAAGTTGGAGGTGAGTCTTCGCCCCCTATGTAGAGGCCTTTGCCAGCCTCTTGACTGGAAGGCAACATGCCACGTAGAGGACGGTTCTCAGTCTCCCTGTCTCGCACGACTCCCATTGGAGGATATTATATCACCCGGGTTGTGGCGTCTGATTGAAAGACAGTTAAAACATCCGGCATTATCATACCCTTTGGTTACAATCGCTATCCATGCTCACTGTAGCTATCCATGATCTTCAAGTATCCATTACCTGTCAAATATTAATGGCCTGTAAAATGACCATGATCTCACTATGTACCGTCATCTAAGTACTAACCTTAGTACGTGTACTTGGCCATTACTCCATGACCTTAGTACGTATCCTTGGCCATTAGTCCATGACCTTAGTACGTGTCCTTGGCCATTAGTCCATGACCTTAGTACGTGTCCTTGGCCATTAGTCCATGACCTTAGTACGTGTCCATAGCCTGGGGTAGAGTTACCTACGCCACCAAGGTCAAATGTCTCAGAAAAAAAAGAGGTTAAGATTGTAAAAAGGGTCAGCTTCTCCACTAAAATGTGTTGTTCTTCATACAGTTCAGCTTTTGGTACCACTGCAGAGAAAAGACGTAAGACACAACAGTTACTACATTGCAATTTAACATAATTTTTTCCAGCCAATTAAATACCGCACACACAGCCCAATAAAGTAATCACTCACACACACACACACACAAACACACACACACACACATACAACCACAACCCACCCACTGACATCCTAAAGTATTTCAACATAAAAAAATACTAGGTAAGTAAAGTAAAAATCACTTTTCAAGCTTTTAGGCGCATCGGGCAAATTGGAAGATACACCTTCCCACTGTCACGATACACTCCAGTTTTTCTCCTTCTCAAGCCAACTCAACTACTGGACGTAAATTTGCCTAGAAAAACCACGCAACAGCCAGGGGCTGTTGGGGTTGGTTCTGCAACGTCCTGTAAAGGATACGCAACAACCAAGTCAACTCTCAGGCTACGACTTGGTAAAAGAATGCAGATTGGTTCCTTCTGAGGGGACAGTCAGTTCTCTTAGCGAGTCAGTTATTTTCAAGATGTCTTTATTGCTCTTTTTATCTGCCTAGGTTATTTTAACTATTCGTCTGTAAAACCGCATGTCCGCAGCTTCTAAGTCATTTTAACTAACTGTTGTAACATTTGTCTTAACTAATCGTAATAATTGGGATATCAATAATATTATTATAAAATAGTATTTTTCTATTAGAAAATAGTAATATACCCGTATAGTAATGGTCGTTTATTTTTGTGGAAATGTTTGTCTTCTAAAAGAAATAAACTTTGCGCAAAAAGCCTAGAATAAGTGTCACATTATTGATTGATATTATTTTTGCTGTAATGTTCGTTAAACTCTGGCTCATTTGTCACAAGCCAGAGGTAGATACTATTACTAAAGAATTTTAAACCTAATGAGCGGCTGGCCGAGTGGTTAAAAACGCAGGTCATTCATGGTGGAGACCCAGGTTCGAATCCTCAGTAACGCTTGGGCTTTTCCTGTTGGTGAAGAAAAGTAATTTTCCCCGGTTGAGTCCCTTAGCCATGTGACCTAAATCCTCAAAGGTCTAGCCTACACCGCAAAATGTGTAACACTGGCGGCAATTGAAATGTGAACTTTCCTTCGGGTTTTCTATTCAAGAGCCAGCGTAAAATTATGTAACTACGTAAACGTTAATTCTTGTAGTATGTCGGAATATTTCAACGTTATCTTTTTGTCTCCACTATCATTCTGATTTACAATAAAACGGTGTAGGTTAACTAGTGCCACAAACTCTGGCTGGACTAATGCACGCAAAAAACAACCATTGTCAGAAATACCAATCGACACGCTGGCTTTGTCTATGTGGTATAGACCAAGCGACAGAACTGTTGTGTTTGACTGCGGGGCTATAGATCTTGCAGCCTGCAGCAGGTAGACCCAGGGACAGAAATGTTGTGTAGGTTGTTGATGGTTTCAGCCCGTCTGTTCCTTGGTCCGTGATATCAGTTACATTCAGGCCTGACCCGTATAGAACTGCCAGTCTCCCTTGTCGGGTGCCGCCACTACTAGGACTCTAATAGTAACCGGTATTGAGATTGAACGGGGTATGTGTGATTTGTTCTGTTAGGTTACCGTCCAAATTAAAATTGTTCAATCTCAGGATTGTATTGTAAACCTTTAGCAGTCGCCTGAAGGCTACAAACTGTTCGATCGACACACACATGCACCTACATACGCACACACCCCTCCCCCCCCCCACACACACACACAAACTTACAATTTTATAATGCAATCCTGTTTTATCATTCTAAAAGTTATAAAGTTTTATCATTTCTTCAGTATCATTTTTAAAATGTACAAGGTCCATACCAGACCATCGAATGTAAAATTTCCGCAGATCTTAGTTTTATGGAAACCCTTGTTCTAGACAGTAAATATGATAAACACAGCCACGATAATGTGAGCACGGGTCTTCTTCTTTAAGTCCATGCCGTGTGGCGTTGGTAGTCATGTTTATCCACAAACTTCTGTCCTGTGCACTTTCAGTCAACTCTGACACAGATGATCTTCCATGCCATGATGACAAACTGTCCAGCATCCTTTCTCTTGCTCTCCCTCTGCCTTTCCTCCTCACCAATTTTTACCTCTGTCACTGTCTACTTTAGTTTTATTTTTCTCATCATAACTAAAGAATGTAGATTGCCTTTCTCTGATGTGGGCAATCAGTTCTCTTCGTGAGTCTTTTTAATCTGTCCAGGGAATTTTTTATAAAGCGTCTTCAAAACCATATCTTCACAGCTTCCAAATAATTGTTCACCAACTTACCAATTGTCCATGATTCACTTCTGTATATCACGATAGCATTTGTATAGCTTTAAAGAAAAATATCTGGTCTCAGTTGTTAAAGACAGATTGCATAATCTATTCTTCGTTATGTAAAATGCTGCCATTGTTTAAGACATTCTACTTTTAACTCTTAATATATCTTCTAGGTATGCCTAACATAAAGATTATGCAAGGCCGTAATAAAGTGATGCCGCCAGTATACCTGTGACAGCATGTAACTAGGCATGTACTACAGCTATGAGCCTGAACTCGACATCCGTCTTAGTTCCTTGATTCAACCGTACTATGTTCGTTCAGCTGCAGGCCGTTTAACAGCAGACCGCTTTGTGTTGATGTAGATCACGTTGTGAGCTATCGTCGTTCAGAAACAAAGACCATAACCCAACATAACATTGGCTAGTACAACCATCAACGGTCATAATATGGTGATGTTGGTTTGTGACGTCATTTAATTCCCACCCATACTTGGCTGCCAATAACTTCGTCACCGTTTTGTGATAACCCAGTGTAACTATGCTAAACGATGCACAGTGACCCGGTGTAACTATGCTAAAGGATACACAGTGACCCGGTGTAACTATGCTAAAGGATACACAGTGACCCAGTGTAACTATGCTAAAGGATACACAGTGACCCAGTGTAACTATGCTAAACGATACACAGTGACCCAGTGTAACTATGCTAAAGGATACACAGTGACCCAGTGTAACTATGCTAAACGATACACAGTGACCCAGTGTAACTATGCTAAAGGATACACAGTGACCCAGTGTAACTATGCTAAACGATACACAGTGACCCAGTGTAACTATGCTAAAGGATACACAGTGACCCAGTGTAACTATGCTAAACGATACACAGTGACCCAGTGTAACTATGCTAAACGATACACAGTGACCCAGTGTAACTATGCTAAAGGATACACAGTGACCCGGTGTAACTATGCTAAACGATACACAGTGACCCGGTGTAACTATGCTAAACGATACACAGTGACCCAGTGTAACTATGCTAAAGGATACACAGTGACCCGGTGTAACTATGCTAAAGGATACACAGTGACCCGGTGTAACTATGCTAAAGGATACACAGTGACCCGGTGTAACTATGCTAAAGGATACACAGTGACCCGGTGTAACTATGCTAAAGGATACACAGTGACCCGGTGTAACTATGCTAAAGGATACACAGTGACCCGGTGTAACTATGCTAAAGGATACACAGTGACCCGGTGTAACTATGCTAAAGGATACACAGTGACCCAGTGTAACTATGCTAAAGGATACACAGTGACCCGGTGTAACTATGCTAAAGGATACACAGTGACCCGGTGTAACTATGCTAAACGATACACAGTGACCCAGTGTAACTATGCTAAACGATACACAGTGACCCAGTGTATCTATGCTAAAGGATACACAGTGACCCGGTGTAACTATGCTAAACGATACACAGTGACCCAGTGTAACTATGCTAAAGGATACACAGTGACCCGGTGTAACTATGCTAAAGGATACACAGTGACCCGGTGTAACTATGCTAAACGATACACAGTGACCCAGTGTAACTATGCTAAACGATACACAGTGACCCAGTGTATCTATGCTAAAGGATACACAGTGACCCGGTGTAACTATGCTAAAGGATACACAGTGACCCGGTGTAACTATGCTAAAGGATACACAGTGACCCGGTGTAACTATGCTAAAGGATACACAGTGACCCGGTGTAACTATGCTAAAGGATACACAGTGACCCGGTGTAAACTATGCTAAAGGATACACAGTGACCCGGTGTAACTATGCTAAAGGATACACAGTGACCCAGTGTAACTATGCTAAAGGATACACAGTGACCCGGTGTAACTATGCTAAAGGATACACAGTGACCCGGTGTAACTATGCTAAACGATACACAGTGACCCAGTGTAACTATGGCTAAACGATACACAGTGACCCAGTGTATCTATGCTAAAGGATACACAGTGACCCGGTGTAACTATGCTAAACGATACACAGTGACCCAGTGTAACTATGCTAAAGGATACACAGTGACCCGGTGTAACTATGCTAAAGGATACACAGTGACCCGGTGTAACTATGCTAAACGATACACAGTGACCCAGTGTAACTATGCTAAACGATACACAGTGACCCAGTGTATCTATGCTAAAGGATACACAGTGACCCGGTGTAACTATGCTAAACGATACACAGTGACCCAGTGTAACTATGCTAA